CAGTCAGTGTCCCTGTACCGAGTCTGTGGGTGTTTGACTAAATACTAATAATGTTTACAGTGTTGCTGTACACCAGTGATGAACTTATGGATCAATCAGTTAACAATAACCTATAAACAGCCTAATGAGGCCTGACTGGGGACAGATACAGCGGAGTTATCTCTCACTGTCTGTGTTCCTGTGAGGGAAGTAAACCAGCAGAACCATGAGTCAGTGTGAGTGACTGAAACAAAGCTATTGTTATAGCTATATTTATAATGTGGAATAAAAACGGAGCTGCAGACACTGAGCTCTGATAGAGGACACTTTAGTTGTTTGTTGTCATTATTGTGTCCACCCCCTGTAGCTGCAGTTCAGGCTGTCGGCCAGCAGGAGGTAGCAACACATTGAGTCAGACTTCAGTGTGCAGAAACAGCCTGAACTCCAGAACCAGAGTGTTTTCTCTTAAAATGGAGAAATAATGAATGGAGTCTGGCACAAACAGCAGGACGCTCCTTCAGACTGACATTTAGACGTCTGCAGGCGATGCCTACCCTTTAGTTTCCCATCATGCAGCGGTTTCTCTCCCTGGGGATTGTGGGTAAGAGCGTTTGTGTCACTTTCATCTTGGTGGTTTATCTTCTTAACTTCTTCTATAAGAAAACCAAGCTGCTCGAACTCTGAGAAGCATAGCGAAACCTGCATGAGAAGGACTTAGCAGACCAACTCAAATACAACCCAGCTTGATTTATGCCATACATATCAACCTGTTTAGAAGCTTGAAGTAGCTTGAGAGAAGAGAAAATATATTTAGATCCTAAAAAAATGAGGTCGAACTGGAAAGATAAGAAACGAAACGATTTAATCTTTCGAAAAAACGCAAAGGAAGAATTGAACACAAATGTGATTATTAACGATGCATTGTGAACGTACGAATGGATGACTCTATATTATAGGATTTAAGAGAGCCAAGGGCAGATCTCACACCAAAATGAACTATAATTTTCAAATAAACAATATGCTACTAACTTTACAACAAAAGATTATACTGTTTAACTTGTTTACAATGAAGCATTCTATAAACCCAACAGATTTAATAATAAACACATTCCAGGATATTTTAAAAAGATTTTAATTTGAAACAAACAATGGACGTCGAAGAAGTATTGAAAACGGATTTTGCTAAATGAACAAAAAAATAAATTAATTACTTCCCCATCGAATAGAGCGAAGATGATTAAAGACATAATCAGAATACTTGAAATAATAAAAAAAATAATCAGAAGTATAAACAATAATATATAAGATATGAGAAGGCTATAAGAGTAAACAATAATAAGAAGCTATATAGATACATGTATATAGATATATAGATATATGTATATGTTGGTGGATTTACATGCAGACCGACACTGAAGCATCAGAGAATAAAAATTACAGTGAGACAGTTCGTTGCTGTTGAAGCTTTAATGTTTCCACAGAACAGAAGAAATCATATATAAATAAGACAGAAAGAAAATTACAAATCATAGAAAAATAATAAAGATTCAAAACAATACATGAAGGCAACTGTTACCCACAATCCACTGCAGGAGGGTTTGGCTTTATGGAAGGTTTGTGATGTTCACTTTATTACTCTTCAGTCTGAAGGTTCTGCTCCTCCAACTCTTCCTTCTCCTCCTCCAACACCTCCTTCTCCTCCTCCTGTTTCTCTTCCTCTGCCACTCCATCGTTCTCCTCTTTCTCCTCCTCTCCTCCCGCGGAGGATGAGGTGTTGTCTCCGTCGTAGATGATGTCTTCAGGGTTCGGAGCAGGAGGACAGAAATCCTCCTCTGGAAGAATCTTCTGGAAGATCGACTCGGCCTGAACAGACATTAAAATAAAATCAATCAATCAATCAATCAATCAATCAATCAATCAATCACTTAAAGATACGGCCTAAAAATAACCTATTTATTTCTTAAAAACAACCTACAGACACCACCTCTCTGTTAGGGCTGATAGTTGACAGTGAATTTGTCCAAAAGGAAACTTAGTAAATAAATATGACTGTAAACAGAATTAAAAGTTCCTGAAAATATTAGAAAAACTCAAATGATTCAAAATTCATAGGAAATCTGATAAAAATGCTCCAAATTAATTTAAATAACTTCAGCAGTTCTTGTGTACAGTTGAGTATAATAGGAAATAATATAAAATATTCAGTTTATTCCAGGCTCCCTTAAGGAAAACCACTGACCTAATCCAGAGCTGAAAATATATCGTTATATATAATATATAAAATATTACGTTAGCTAATGTTAGCAAATGTTAGCAAGAGATTAGGTAACTTAAGATGTGACTTTATATTTATCCCTTTTATATTTCAACCATCTTCAAAATGTGGTTGTCTTTCCAACATAGATTAGCCTAGCATAGCATCCCTAAGTACAGGAAAGGATTGTGATTGGACCACAGAGCAAAAGGGGGTGAGGCTTATGAAGCGGTAACTGTATAGTCCGTTTTGCAGCTGCAGCACTCTCACTGAATTGTCCTCATTCGTCATTTCGACACAAAAACATGGAAATAATGTCCAGGTTAAAAAGTTCCGTAGTTACTCCAATTACTCTAATTATCACATTTAACGATTACGACACATCTTACAGCTGTTTTAATGAGTCAGCTGGAAAAAGTGGTTTGTAAGTTTATTCACTGCTTAATATTCGTCCTGCTAATGAAGCCAATTACTCACTTACTATAATCTAAACATTGAACGTGATGATGTCACTTGTATAACCATGACAACAAGCCAATCAACAGTCAGAGGAGACGTGTGTGTTTGTCTCACCTGTCTGATGGCGAGTTCGTGACCCAGATCTCCGTCCGGTCCAGAGCACACGTACACGTTAGACGGGAGGTTGTGACCCTCAGCCTTCAGCCCCGAACCGTCGGCCATGTTGAAGTACAGACACCAGAGGACAGACGGGCAGGTTTCTGCAGGTAGACAGACAGACAGACAGACAGACAGACAGACAGACAGAGGGACAGACAGACAGTTAACATCTGTTGTACGTTTAATTACAGAATATTCAGTTTCGTATTTCTTTAAATAGTTTTTTTATTCTTTTTGTTATTAAACTTTTTATTTAGAGAAAAATATACATGTTATACATGTTGCTCTTAAATTTGTATACATGCCATTAATCAAAAAAGAAAAATTCACATCATTACAAAAGTACCCACACTCTCTCCCATCACAGTACTTCTATATCGGTTCTGGACTGGTAGGGAACTTAAGAATCCAAATAAAATAGGTAAATATACAGCAGTAAATAAAATAGACAATAACAGCTGTAAAATTAATACATTTGTCTGCTCCACATGTACCTTTCCTCATTCATAACTTTTCCTACACATAATATCTTATAGTGGGGTGATAATAACTGATGGCAAAATCAACAGCACAAATGGTAATAATTATAGATTAAGTAAGATAGTTTGCTGTATACATGTATAACTCTCTATTTGCTGAAACAAAGAAAGAACACTGAACCAGATGAGTGGAGTCAAAAACTAGAGGATTTATCACATTACCCAGTATCTTGCCTTAAAGTTGTTATAAAGTTTATCCAGGTTTTCCAGTAACTCTCAAACTTATCTTGTTCAAGCCTGAGAATGAATGTTAGCTTCTCCATTGTAAAAATATCTTGAACCACTTTGATCCAGTCCTGGACTGTAGGAGAATCTTTTACCAACCATTTCCTTGTGATTGCTTTCTTACTCGCTAGTAATAGGATATTATACATATATTTGTTTTCAGGCCCCTTCACAGTGTCCGGTCTTAATCCCAGACATAAAGTCTCTGATGGGATAACTATTTTCATGATTTTCTCAATGGTCAATTTAATTTCTTTCCAATATTTTGAAATGACCGGGCATTCCCAAAACACATGAAAATGTGTTGCCTTATTCTCGCCACAGGATCTCCAACAGGATGTACTTGCTCCCAGAGAAATCCTTTGAGCTGGAACTCTAAAAAACCTAGCTATACTCTTCCACCCAAATTCTCTCCAGGATAGAGCAGATGTACTTTTCCACTGTTGTGAAATTATTTTCCCCCACATTTCCATCTGCATCACGATGTTACTCTCCTTTTCCCATTTCTCCTTTATATATGTAGTATCATTCCCCTCTACCTCTTGTAACACCTTATATATCTTTGATATGTTTCCACGTCCAGGGTCTGACCTGTAGCCGAGTAGAAATATCTTCACTATACCCAAATTAGTTTGAAGCAATTCTTCCTTTCTCGTTATTTTCCCTAGGTAATGTCTAAGTTGCAAAAATCTATAAAAATCCTGACTGGTTAAACCGAATCGATTTTTAAGATCCTGGAACTGTCGCAGCGTGCCCCCCTCATAGAGGTCACAGTGCTTTATTAACCCTTTATCGGCCCACTGTTTAAATCTTGCATCCATCCTGTTTGGTAAGAAATCTGAGTCATATCCTATCCATCTTATGATCCAGTATGGTTCTTTGGCCTTGTTTTCATTGACTACCCTGTGCCAGATCTTAATTGACATTTTTATCAATGGGTTTATGTCTTTTAGACAGGCAACCAACCGCGCCACTGTCCCCGATGATTGCTTGTAATGGAATATCACTAGATATCTGACATTCTATGTCTTTCCATTTCGCTTTATAAGAAGGGTTGCAGATATTAACTAAAAGTTTTATCTGCGCCGCTAACCGGCCCTAATTTTAATGAGCACTATCAATACAACAGGAGTATGAGTGTAAATCCCATCTAGAGTGGCCACTCTCATGTCTCATGTCTGCTGTGTTAAAAAGATGCAGATGGTAAAGGGTTGGTTCACATAAAAAACTATTCTCTTATTTTCCTGTAGTAACATCTAATACAGAAGCCTCCTGGATCTTGAACATGCTTGACTACGTATCCCACCTAGCCTAGGAGTACCTTGGGATTCCACAGGAGGAGCTGGAGGACATGGTTGGTCAGAAGTACCTCCTTCCTACCTTGCTCAGCCGACTACCACACTGGGATCCGGGTAGAAGTTAAGGGATAACTGTGTGTATGTCTCTGTGTATGTACTGACCTGCATGTGTTGCAGTGCTTTGTCCTTGACTGCTTGTTTCTCCTCAGGGCTGTAGCCAGGCATGGACAGCAGATTGTGGATGTAGCTGAAGATCTCAACCTGACACACACCCAAAGAAGTCAAATATTTACAGAGGTCTTGTACATTCTTCTACAATAAAAAGGTAGAGAACACAGTGCCAGGCACACATACAACACATATCGACCAAATACGTGTATAGTTTGATAAATCTGAAATGTATGTTACCTTTCTGAGGGGGTCTCTCAGGTAGCACTCAATGATCCTGTCATACAGATGTTTCTTCTCATAAAGAAATTCACAGATCTGGTAGCTGGAGGGCAAGATGGAGAGACACAAAGACATGTAATAATAATGACAATAATACTAACTTATAATATTACAGTAAATATGTTACTATTATATGCCTAGTGTTCTTCCAAAATTCCTGTCTGGATGGATCAGTGAGATTCAGCACCAACTGGATACTGTAAATAAGACCTAATGCTAAATATCAACATTGTGAAGTTATAGCTGCACTAATCAATATTTTATATTAACTAACTCATACTGACAAACCCATCCAGGGAATTATCAGCAACTCTGCACTTCCCCTCGTCTCCAGGGAGCTTTATTTAGTCTCCTTAAACGTACTGTTTTGGTTTTATGGTAAAACAAATCCAGATTTAGTGTTTGGTTTAGTTTCAGTGTTCCTATCAAAGTTGTTTCCAACAGCAACAGGCAGCTGTTTTCAGCGAGAACGCTCTGATAAACCTCCTGCACATTACATACACCCTACGACACAGTTGGAGATGAAAGTGGAACATGAGCCAGATAGTTTTCTCAGGACTTGTTGGAGACTGAGTTAAAAGGAGAGTGAATATTTTTAATGCAATTGTTTATTGCATTGTTTATTTATTAGTCACTGTCAAGATTTTGTATACCCTTTTGTAAGTCAGTGGAAACACTGCAGGGCTGCATAGATGGGCTAGTAACTGATGCATCCACCATAACACAGAGTACTGTGTGTGTGAAATAAAGACAGGGAAAACATTCCTTTTTCTTCTGACTCTTGTGGCTATTTATTGCTCAACGCACTAGAATCTTCAATGGTTCATGTAAGAAACCATTACAGCAGTCCATACATTTCTCTTTAAAGCCAACATTTCTACCCACACCTCACAGTAGTGTTCTCCCTCAAAATCCTGTATAGTAACACCTGACTGACAGTTTCTACCTATATCCTTTATTGAACACAGCACCAAGGTGACACCCTGTGTATAAGAACAAAAACAGTTGCCCTCTCTTAAGGAAATGGCTCTCACATCTTTTGTAAAGTAGCATCCAGGGAATATGTGAACTACATTTTGCATAACCTGGACCAAAGACATGAGCTCATAACCCTAAAAACCTTTAAAAAAGCATTGTAAATATGCAAAGGTAAAATATGCTTGCTATGCAGTTATTAGGTGCAAACTCACAACTTGGCCTTCTCTGCCAAAGCCAGCAGCCTTCCTTCATTAAACTGGACCACACCGCCGACCTGCAGCAGCTCCAGCAGAACCTACAACACAACATATATATAGTAACTTAGTTACATTCCACCTTTCGGTGTGTGTTTGTGTGTGTGTTTATACATATCATATATAAATAAAACAACCTGCTGCCTCTCAGTGTGTCTGGAGTCATCGTCTGGGCAACACAGGAATTCCAGAACCTGGAAAGACAGTCAGATGTGGATGAATGGTACTTGAGGTCTTATTAGCAGTGTGGAAATGCTCAAACTGGAAGTACCCCACCCACACCCTGACTTCACTTTGTTTATTGTTATATGGGTTTCAGTTGAATATAATATCTTTATTTTGATGCATTAAAGATACAATATTCACTGGTATACACTCCTGGACAGGTGTGACCCAAAAAGTCTATCAATGTGTGTGTCAGTTTGTGTCATCCAGCATAGATAGATGTTATTGATCTATCAGTTGAGACTCACAGGGTTTTTGCAGATTTCAACAGTTTAAGACTTTTAAGATTTAGGACTTACATTGAAGTTTTTTTAAGGTAGTCAGATGTAACAGGAATTGGTGTGTTGGTTATGGCACATATGACAGGACCCAAGATGCAGCTTACACTGTATACTTGGGGTAGGTATATCCCAGTCAGGTAACTATTACAAGCCTGTTTATGTGTTATGGCCTTTTTAACAACATTGATTCTATCTTGATACATTAACATGTGTCACTACTGTAAATAACGTGAGCAAAGTTAGATGGTGTGTGTGGGTATTTGGCGGATCTGGTTGGTTACCTGATCAAAGAGCTTCCTGTTCACAAAAAGCGTGTTGTCTGGCTTCGCCAACTGGCGGGCCAAGAAGGTGAAGAGCCCGCCCACCTGGGAGGGAGTAAAGTCTGGGTTGTCCACCATCACCTAGGTGACCAAAAAGACACATTAACAATTACAGAAAAGAAAAGGTACAGAGAATATAAAAATAATAGTAGTTAATGATATTAATAGAACCTCATGAGTCATTTCTGTCCAGGATAATGACGACTCTGCTACTGTTTTGTCATGCAGGTGACCTAAGTGATGTATCTGTTTGTTGGGTTTGAAAAATCATTAATTTTTACAAAATGTGTGCAAAATGATGTGAAATGAACATAACAGCATGTGTAATTGTTTGGGACTTTACCTGAAGTAAGATGTCCACTATCCTCTGCTGGTACTCAAGGGCCTGCTTATCATTCTTAAAGTCTTCAAATGTCTAAAATGAAGTAAGAACCAATTCTTAAATGACTTAGAAAAAACTATGAAAACAATCACATTTCAATTTTCTAATAAGGAAAAAGAAAACACTTGCAAGTGGCCAGGTGAACGCCAAAACAAGACTAATACTGGGTATAAGTGCAATTCAAACAATTCAAGATATATGAAAATGTACTTAGATGCCAGCTAACTGGCTGTGAATCATACAACTAGGCATGGTAGACCCTGCCAGTCGCAGAGCTCCTTACACTCAATGAATAAATGGAAACCAGAGAATGAATAATTCTCAATATTTCTTTGGAATATGTGACTATGTGAATAAATGGCTGCTGTTAGCCAGTTAGCTCAGTTAGCGGTGCAGATAGCATGTGTGTTGGAAAAAAACTCATGGCAGCCTAGTGTGCCTGGCCAGCAGAGGACATCAGCAGCTACAATGGTACATGGGTGTTAAAGGCCAGCGCTTCCAGTTGGAAGCTTTGGAAGTTTACAAATACTTTTTTTTAATTCATCAGTATCAGTTTACTGAAGCTGAGGGTGGTGTTAAAAAGGAACGGATTTAGATTAATGGCATACTATAAGATATTCAAGATACAGTCATCCAGTCTTTTAACATGCAAAACACACATTTACCACTGGACAGGAGTTCAAATAGTGAATAAGTCTCACCATGGCGAGGACATTGAGGAACTCCCGGGTATCAAAGTGGAGGAGTGTGCGAATATACGGGAAAACCTCCTCCTCCTCTGATGAGTCGGCTGAATGGAGCCGGATAAGGAACTCAAACACCTGACACACACACACACACACTGCATTAGTGTACTATCTATAAAGGCTTGCTTGGAATGACAACAGCTACATTTCTTCAGATGACACAACAGTGGTGTTACCACTGATCACCATTCTCTCACCCCTCAGCAAAACACATGCCTCCAGTATTTCTTAACAGGCTCAGCTACTGTGACACATTGAGGCATTAAATAAACAAAGTGCACAGAAACAACAACAACAACGCAACGATTTACCATTAAACCAAACTATAGTGCTACTCTGCAAAAATGGAATCACTTTGTCAAACTTTCCTAGAATATGCTGCAAACCCTACAGAAGAATAAATACACAGTATCTACACCTGGTGTTTGACTTGAACCACAAGGTCCTCAGGGATGTCTCCAAGTGGATATGCCCTTCCTGCAAGACAGCAGCTGTATACACAAACACACACACAAACACTTACTTATGTAATATGATTTGAACTGTAAGTATATAAGATGAAATACAGAAATGGAAGAAAATATGATATCAATAAGAGATGAGTAAATAAATACATTGGTTTACATTTGTTGTGATGACATGCCATACTCCTTTCTCTGCTGTATTAAGCACCTCAAGATCAACACAATTTTGTATGACTTCACTTGTGATTTGCTGGATCTGAGAAATGACTTGACAACTGGACTTTCATCACAGTAACTTGGGACTTGTTTGAGACATGTGATTTACTCCCACTTCTAACTAACATCTCTTAGTGATTTACATTGCTTAGTACTTGAGGAGTCAGCTTTGACAGTGAACATGTAGTAGCAGCTATAAGCACATACCAAACCTCTGGCCATAATGTATGTATGTGCACAGACTATTGGACTGAGATATAAACTGATATCTGTCGGAACCTACCTTATGTACACCAGAAGTTTGTTTCCCATCACCACTTCCTCATCTGTCCAAGAAGAAAAATAAGAGTTAAAGACTTAAATATGCTTTCCTTATACTTTCTCTTCTTGTTCTATTGAGATGCTTCAAATAGTTGGTGCTATGAACTCTTTGGGAGTGTGGTTTCCAGCCTTACCTGTTAGGCCCCTCCCCTCCCTAAGTGGTGGGCCAATCACTGCAAAGAGTTTCTGAAATATAAACGTGACGTAGACAACATAGAGGGGTACGTTATCAATTATCACATTTATCAAGATTTGACATACAGCTATAAAGGCGAGACAAAAGTGTAAACTTGGATTAAACCACATAATCCTCATTAAATTTGTAGCCTCAACCTCTGCTTCACAGAGCTTTTGATACAAAATTGATATACTCGAACTAAGAGCCCCAAATGGCTTATCCTAAAAGGTCAAATGTTTATTCCTTGCTTACATATTGCCACTTAAGTCCAACTGAAATTACAGTAATCATATTGATTAAAACATTCATTCCCAGAAATTGGGGTCGCAGGAGATTTTATTTGGTCACAAATAGATTTGCAGAATTTCTTCCTCCTGCTAAATGCAGTATTTTAAAAATATTTAAAATGTGTACATTGTTTTACTATTGAGGTAAAAAACAGGAGCCTTAACCTTTCCTAAATGCACATATTCTGTCTCATAAAGACATTGTGTTGGTTTACTGAGAGAAAAAAAACATTATAAAGTATTTAAAATGTGTATTACTGTTACAGTAATTCTGCTTAAATGCATTCATCAAGTCTCATTTCTAAAGTNNAGAGAAAAAGCAAAAAGGTTTGGGAAACACTGGATTAAGGCACTTCATTTAGTCTGACCAGATGAAAGTGATAAAAACCTTCTGTAGAAGACTTACCTCCATAGGTGTAATGTAGTCATTCATGCCACGG